ATACTACTGCCTCTTGTATTACTACTGCTAATAGCAATAAAAACAAACCACAATACAAACGACATCACACATCACACACACACACAGACACGCACACACACACACAAACACGTACACACACAAACACGTACACACACAGACACACATACACACACGCACACATACTTTACTACACATACGTACACGCGTGTACCAATCTAATGATAGTATTTCCTACTTCGCAAGCCTCACACACTGACGAAATTACTGACTTGGATAATTACTAACTTACATGTTTACACACTTACATACTTGGCCTGCAATTACTAGGAGCTCGAAAAATTTACGCTTATTCACCATACACAGAATTTACGCCACACACATTCACACATACACACACTCATTCACACACACATAAACTCACACACATAAACTCACACACACACATATATATACAAGCACACACACACACACACACATATTTACATTTACACATACATACCTACAGACACATATACAGTATATAGCGTTGGTAAAATCAGTCCAACTAAGGTTTAAGGTATTTATTTAGTAGTTTTTGTTTTTGTTGTTACTGTTATTTTCGTTGTTATATCATCCTTATACTATCCTACTCTTTTCCTCTCTTTCTCTCACTCTCTCTCTCTTTCTTTCCCTCTTTTTTTTTCTCTCTCTCTCTCTCTCATCTCTCATTAACATCCTTTTCTCGCTAATTTCATGCTAATTTCTGTCACATCATTCATTCATTCATTTATACATTCCATCATTGCCAGTCCTCATTCATTATTATTATTATTATTATTTTTATAATTTTATTATTATTGTTATTATTATTGTTACTGTTTGCTATCGTTATTTTTATCTTTTGTTAGATAGCTACTCTTTATAACTTAACTTGTGTGTTCGTCAATTTTGGGGAAATTATATATATATATATATATATATATATATATATGTATGTATTTGTGTGTGTGTGTGTGCGTGCGTGCGTGTGTGCGTGCGCGTGTGTGTAGATAGATATATAAGTGTGGTGGAATTTTTTTAAAGTATTTTTTTTTCGTTACAACAACGACAGCGTTTGATATTTTTTATGAGTTTCAGATGTTAGTGAGCTCATTTATTTGTTCGTTTGTCAAGTTTACTTTTGTTTGATGCGCCTCTCTTTTTCTCCTTCTCTCTCTCTCTCTCTCTCTCTTTTTCTTTCTCTCTTTCTCTCTCTTTCTTTCTCTTACTATTGTTATATATATATATTATAATTTTTTTACAGTTGCAACTACAGAAATGGAACCAAAATTGCATATGACGACGTCAATAATTTCACCCTCGTCACCACCATCATCATCATCAGCAGCAGCAGCAGCAAAAACTACAACAACATCATCATCATCATCATCATTGCCAACAACAACTACAACATCAACAACAGCAATAAAATATGCTAATCCAGATAGAGTTGTTGATATTATTGCGGATGACAAAACCTTGGGTTATGTAATTTCGTCACCAACTTTGTTAACGTCGTCATCATCGTTGTCGTCATCAGTAGCAGCTGAAGCAACCACAGCAGCAGCTAAAACATCTTCACCCTTATCAACGCCGTTATCATCTGCATTACGTCCTAAAACGACATCACCATCATCACCAACTTTAATAGAAACACCATCATCATCATTATCGTTATCATCTTCTTTATCATCATTACCACAACCAACCACTTCGACTACTACATCTGCGACTACTACTGCTATTACTACTAATAACAACAGTTATGAAATTATCAAAGATCATATTAACAACAACAACAACAACAACAACAACACTATAATTGATATCACGAATGATAAAAACATGACAAACCACTACATTAATAATAATAATAATAATAATAATAATAATAATAATAATAATAATAATAATAATGTGATGATGACGACCATGGTAACAAATGATGATATTTACGATACAACAACATTACCAACATCATTACCAACAACATTTTCAACACCAGCATCACCATCAACACCAACAACAACATTGTCATCACCACCACCAACGGTAACAACGTTCTCAGCAACATTATCATCAACAACAACATCATCATCACCACCAACAACAATCTTTTTACATGAATTAATTTCAGAAACTGTAGTTTTGACGTCATCATCACCACCAACCACAACAACAACATCATCATCAAAAGTATTACCAATCGTACCATTAACAAAAATAACATCAACACCAACAACGCCAATAACATCAACAACAACAAAAACAACAGCAACAACACAATTCTCATCAACAAAATTAACTTTGACAATTCAAAATTTTTACCCCGAGAAACTTAACGAAGAAAGTATGACAACAACAATTTCATCATCTGCCGCAACAACAACAACAACATCATCATCATCATCTGCCACAACATCATCATCATCGACAACAACAACATCAACAACGACAACAACAACAACAGAAATATTAACACACGATAGTCAAACTTCAACATCATCAGATAGTCAAACTCCCATAACACAAGAATTTGACACACAAGATGATTTAACAACTATTAATTTAGAAAATACAACAACGTCATCAACAACAACATCATTATCATCATCATCATCAACAACAACAACATCATCGTCAACAACAACAAAATCAACACACGACAACAATGCTACATCGATCTACTATGATAACAACAACAATACTACTACTTCTACTACTACTATTACTTACAAAGACAACAATACTACTACTACTACTTACATAGACAACAACAACAACACTACTACTATTACCAATGTGAGCTTCAACACAACAAACGTTACTAACACAAATAAAACAGCAGATGGTAATAAAGATGTGTGTTTCCTTTATTATCTCAAACTCATCCTCATCCATACATCCATCCATTCATTCATTCCTTTATTTATTATTGATCATCCATTCCATCCACCCATCAAGTCCTTTATTCGTTTATCCATCCTATCCATCTATCCATCCATTCATTTGCTCTTCTTAATCTAGTATCTATCAGTCTACTGTTATCATTCAACATTTACTCGTTTTACGTGTTCGTTCATTGGTTTGCTCATATTCTTGTTTGTTTGTTTGTTTGTTTGCTTGCTTGTTTACCTATTTGTTTATTTGTTCATTCATTCATTCATTCATTCATTCATTCATTCATTCATTCATTCATTCATTCATTCATTCATTTATTCGTTCATTCATTCATTCATTCATTCGTTCATTCGTTCATTTGTTCATTCATTCATTCATTTTTCATTCATTCATTCATCCATTCATTCATCCATCCATTCATTCATTCATTCATTCATTCATTCATTCATTCATTCATTCATTCATTCATTCATTCATTCATTCATTCATTCATTCATTCATTCATTCATTCATTCATTCATTCATCTATCCATCCATTCATTCATTCATTCATTTCACCAACAGTTACGTTGTTAATAATTTGCGGGGGCGTGCTAGCAACCGTGCTCATAATCCTGTTATGTACCTGTTATTTCTGCTACACGAGGTGAAATAAAATTATAGTTATAATAAAATAATAATTACAACAATTATTATTGTTGTTGTTGTTATTATTATCGATATTATTTGTTATATTAATCATAATTATCATTATTTAGATCTAAAGCTAGGAAGAAGCGAGCTGCTAAGAGAGGGTTTTTCGATGATCAGCTGACTACGAGTTTTATGAAAGAGGTAGTGAATGAATGAATGAATTACTGAATGGTTGAATTAATGAATTGTTAATGAATTAACGTGTAAATAAGTAAATAAATGATTAAATGAGTGAAGGAATGAAATAATCAATGAATGAAAAGCGCTTCCAAGTAATTTTTTCTCTAAAACCTCACAGGAACCATCGAACGGGAAAGCCAAAAAGAAAAGCAGCAGAATAAGGAACAACAAAAAATATCCAAAGTCCTACCACTTGGGACCGAAACTTCTACCGACGAATACCGATGCGATCCGACTCAAACCGACAAGTTATTTACCGACAAACAGTGCCGTCCCCTCGCCATTAATTTACTCACCAGTTAACCTTAGAAACATTAAGAGAGACTCATCGACCTTTGCCGCAGATAACAACCAGCACCTGAGTACTCAACCGAATAAAACAAACGGTTCGATTAATCCAAATAAGATTCGATTAAATTCGGATCAAAGCATCAACGCCAATAACAATCCAATGAACGATTTCGGCGCATCTTCGGAGCAATTGAGAACCGGCGAGGAATGCAACGTCGATTTCGGAACGTGGAGGAAACCGAGCCTGGCCACCTACGGTTTCATACCGGCCTACAAAAGGAACAATAGCAATGAAAACACAATCAAGAACCAATCTTACAGCAGTAGCCAACCGAGAAAAAGTCAGTTGAACGAGAATGACGATCGATTCGAGAGGGTTCGCTAATTATTTTTTCTATAAATTTTCCATTTTATTATTATCTAGGCATAATATTATATTATAATATATATAATATTTATATTATTATAGGTATTATTATTATTCGTTTTTAGGATAGTCTGAAGAGCGAAACGGAGCTTGACCTGACGACATTTTTTAAGCGGACCTCCGTAGCAAACCCCAATATACCCAACACGTTCAAACTAATTTAGAATTCTCTTCATTATAATTAAGTATGCTAATCATTATAAATCATTATACACATTTATAATATAATACTTGTAGGCATGTATACACACACACACATGCACACACATACACAAACACACACACGCAATACACACACACACACACTTATCTATGTTGTTACACCCGTCGGAATGGTGGAATTACGCTATAAAATTAACCATTGTTATATTTGTTATCTTCGCTATTTGTCAATCGATTGTAAGCCATAGAATCTATTCCCACTATAGGGGATATATAAGGGACAGGAGTGGCGAAGTCATGAAGCGAGGTTTAAAACGAAGTCCTAAATGTGATTTGTGAAATTACTTGGGTTAGTTTAGCGTTTCTATAACTGTTGGCATTGAAATAAACGTTCAACCAAGTATGCATTTGAAGCAGTTGTGTTCATCTATCGGAAATCTTGAACCTACGGAATAATGAACGACTGACGATCGTTGGGAGCTACGACACTGGCGTTGGAAGTTCAGAGATCATTTTAAGTCGCTACGGACGTCAAAGTAATACAACAATATGTATACCAAAGACAATACTGTTTAATTTAAGACATTTAGATAGTCTATTCTAACTTCTGATTAAAATGTGACTTTTATATATTTTAGTATTATTGAATGAACTTATATATATATATATACACACACGAACATATATATATATACACACAAACACACACACACATATATATATGTATATACATTTTTAATTTGTTACATTAAATACATTATTTTGTTTATGTTATTATTGCCACAATAGAGCATTTTGATTAGGGTTGTGGACTTGTTTTTGAAGAACTACTAATAAATAAAATAACCTAATTTATAAATCCATCTATGCATTCATTTATTTATTCATTCATTCAATCGTTTTTCCATTCCTTTACTCTTCCTTCACTCATTCATTCAGTCATTCATTCAGTCGTTTATTCAGTCGTTCCTCCATTCATACAGGCATTCATTTATTTATTCATCATATATCAATTTACTCATCTCTTCATTTATTTATTCATACGTTCATTCATTTATTCATTCATTCATTTGTTCATTCATTTATTCATTCAGTCTTTCATTCATTCACTCATTCATTCAAAATGATACAAATAAACTTTCTACTTTTATTTTAAAAACACAAATCTGGAATAACGAATAAAAATGGCTCTGAAAGAGAAAAACGAAAAAAAATCATCAATAAAAATATATCATAATTTTTCATTATTATTATTATTATATATTTGTTGGAAGTTATCGAAAAAGAGATGGAAAATGCCAAATGTTAAATGCTTGTATGTATTCATGTATCTATGTATGTATGTATATGTGTATGTGGGTGTGTACGTATGTGTATAT